TGTGACAAGCTTGGTAGGAACATCCTGTGTTCAGTGTTTTGTCCATCTGAGTACCTTTGAAAACACTTTGCATGCATTTTTCATGATGAAAAAAGGCTCTGGACAGCATCGGGAACTGGAATAGTTAAAAAAAAAATTGCAAACGCAAACGCTTATAAACGCAATTTGCATTTACAAGCATTTTGCATTTGAAACGCTGAGAAAATCGACTGCTGAACGCAAGTTTTCTGCATTCAAAAAAAACACCTGTAAACGACTCTGTGTACATGGACACATAGGAAAACATTAGGGTGAGTTCAGGGGATGCTGAAAAAAACGCTGAACAGCTCCTAAATGTGAGTTTTTCAGCTGCAGTGTACATGAGCACTTAGGAATACATCTCCTTATGCGTGGCTCCTAAATGGGGAGCGGGGGGGGGGCAGAGCAGATACCTGGTTTTGACAGGTACCCACTTCCACTGAGATCGCCTAGGCCAGGGGTCTGCAACCTTTAAGACATAAAGAGCCACTTGGACCCGTTTCCGAGAGGGAAAAAAAGACTGGGAGCCGCAAAACCATTGCAACATTTAAAACAAATCCGACACTGCATATATTGCAAAAAGCGCTCTGGTCATGAAGGGGGTTTAAGGGCCCAGTAAGCAAAGGGTTAATCAGGGCCACAGTGTATCATCATAATCACAATCATAGCCTTAGGTCAGTGGTGGGCAACCTTTTTTTTCAACTGAGCCAAATCTCGCCAAAACCACGATTAAAATTTATTTTGAGAGCCACATTTTTAAAACTGAAAATACATCCCCCATATAGTAATTCATCCCCCCATAGTAATTCATCCCCCCTATAGTAATTCATCCCCCCTATAGTAATTCATCCCCCCTATAGTAATTCATTCCCATATTGTGTCAATTCACTTACCTGTACTCCGCGCGTTCCTCTCGCCGTGTTCCCGCGCAGTTCTGGTCTTCAGGGCGGACTGTGAGAGGAGAGGAGTTCGTCACGCTGTGCCGCCTACATCCTGACAGCCAATGTTTGCCACGCTCCGCGGGCCGGATTATAAGGTCCGCCGGGCCGTAGTTTGCCCATTGCTAGGCTAGCTGCAGAGTCCTGACTTTTGGGGCGGCCGCCCGAGAGGAGGGAGGGGAGCGGGCGCCCGGCACACAGAAGAGCTGCATTAACCTCCCTGGCGGTATGATTCCTTCCGATTTTTTGTGCTGAAAGCGGTACCATTTTTTCGCATGGAAATAGTTTTTTATTGTAGGCTGTAATTTTTAGGAAAATTTCCCCACAAATCATTATCACTCAATTCTGCAAGTGGTTCTGATTTACTATCGCTGTTCTCTAGCCGGTCTAACACCGCTTTTGACCTAAAGGGACGCTTTTTGGACGCCATGGACTTTTCTAAGTTTCCAGGCAGAAAGAACAGACAAAAAATGCAGGCAGGGCACAGGACAAAGCACTAGGGACAATATGTATGTGAAATGGGATGAAACAGCAATGTTTTACTATTGAAAATTGAAAAAAAAAAAAAAAAGACATTTTTTAAATTTAGTAATTTTTTAAAAAGAGTACTTGGGGGGTGTTTATTTAGTGATGTGTACCTGCTTGGGGGATCTCTGTCAGCTGTGGAGGGGGGGGGGGGGGTTGCAGGTTCAGCTACCCACACACTGGTCCCCTTTTCGCACTCTCCTTGTCAGTAACCCTTTTGATATCCCTGTAAAAAACCCTGAGTCCTGACATGAGACACTTCCAGCTTACCTCCCCACACTTTCCACAGACCATCAGCTCAGATCACCTATTCCCGTATTCCCTGCACAGTTTCAGTAGCAGCGGAGCCGGCAGTAGCTGTACCCCACCTCCGTGTTCTCTCTGCACACCGCACTGGAGATCGGGGGGGAATTGGAGTGAAGGAGGACTGATAGTGAGAGTGCAGGAGACTGCTGGGGGGAGACAGAAAGGACATTGAGAGCTTCTAAATGCATACTCCACCTCGGGCAGTGTATATATTTAGGAGCAACAACACTTATGCTGTCCTCACAGCCCAGATTCCAGGACAATGCCTGGGACTGAGCTGTAATGGGACAGGCTGACTGGGCTTGTATAAGGTACGGGCCTGGAGCTGCAGATCCAATAGCCCCTATGATAATCCATCCCTGCTAAAGACAATGGGATTGCTTTTAAAAGCAAATAGCCTGTTCACTTTGCAAGGGAAATTGCATTTTGCATACAAAATTTCCCCAGAGCTTAATGAATGTGGTGAAATTTCCCTTTGCAAAGAATATCCAATCACATGCAAGGGAAATTTTACAAAAATGCATTTTTACTTGCACATGAGTACATGATTGAAGTCAGTAGAGTTCCAGCTCATTGTGCTTTATCAAATATAAGTTGCGGTTCTATTAAGAAAATTCAAGTACAAGGCAGCCAATTGTTAGGATGGGAACTTATTAGGGTACGTACACTCAGGTGTGACAACACTATCCCATACAAAGACCTTTGTGGCACGATGGATAAAGTTTAGTGTACTAAATGGTGGCAGCATGTAGTCAACCATAATATGCCAACACACCAGAATGCAACATCTTTTTTCACTACTTTATTGAGTACATGTAAAAAAAACACACCATTATCATTTTCTTTTTCAGCGCAATAATAAAAAAACCCATACACAGGGCCACCATTAGAAATCTGGGGGCCCCACATTGCTTGCCTGTTAGGGGATTCCCCATGACTGGCATTCCTTGTCCTAATACCTTACTGCACTCGCACAGTAATCCTGCCAGCTGAGGCTCGGCTTTGGCCCTCTGTTTCCTCTTGTACCAAATTGTATTGTAACTGTATTGTCTCCCGTTATATTGTAAAGCACTGAGCAAACTGTTGGCGCTATATAAATCCTGTATAATAATAATAAGAGCATTCCGGGATTTCACTTACTAACCTTATAACTGCTCCCACTCCCCTTCTAACACCTATACTATCTACCCTGTAAAAGAAAGATGCTTAGAATTGCATATTTTCAGGGCGCTCCAGTCTGATCTCCTGATCCGCTCTCCTCTGTCAGATAGCGGCGGCTTCAGGAGAAAGGAGGAAGTGCTGACAACGGATGGCCAATGATAAGTCTATGGGTGATGTCACCACTCAGGCATTACAGCTATTGTCAACCTCTTTCTTCTCTCCCTTATAGTTGGCGCTGGCTGACACATGGGAGATCATGTGACCAGACTGAAATGTGACCTGTGCTGAAACTCCCAACAATTTAATGAATATTCTGGTCTGCCCCAGCAGATTGATAAAGAAGGTGAGGGTTGAACTTTCACATTTTGGGAGCCCTAGCATGGAGGATTGCTTCATTTGATCGTGAAAATGAGTAAAGAGTCTCCTCTCTATCCCTGATCCCTGCTGCTCAACTGATGGGGGCTGAGGAACATTTATTTAACGACTGAGAGTCACGGCCTTTGGGATGACTGTACGTTGTATTTAAAGAGTCTCTTTTCTGCCCCCAAGCCCCCTGCAGAACTTCTGAGGCCAAGGCCTGTTACAGGCCCTGCCAACATACCCAACCAGTTAGAAAAGTGTTCTCAGCCTGCCAAAACCCCTGTACAGGACCTATGGAAAGTAAGAAGTAAGCCATCACCTTAAATTCACCGTTCTCCTCTATCATGCTCTTTGCAGCCTCTTGTTGTGCATGGTGTATCAGGCTCTGCCCTATGGCACGCTCCATGTGCTGGCGAATCCCATGATTGGCTTCTGTCAGGTCTAAAAGAAGCTGCTGCTGGAAGTCACTGCGTGCCTGCCAGGTTTCCTCCTCCAGCTTGCTTTCCTCTTCGGAGATATGAGCTTCCTGTTCAAGGGAAAAAGAGATATATATTTTAACAAAAAGCTGCCATTTACGGAGAGCAGCTCTGTCCTATCCTTCTGCTCCATTCTTTTCTCCTATATCAGCCAGTGACCAAGATAACCTGTTACACTGTTTTTACCCATTTTATCTTTTCTTAGTGCTCTATGCCATTTTCTGATTTGTCCGAACATTGGAATCTATTACCTCCTCTTTACCATCCTATTTTCTTGTCGTGTACAATGTCATTCTATTCAACATCAGGTTAAACCTGAAACACGTCCCTAGCAACCTGCCCCATAAGGAGGAGGAGCAGACCCTGAAAGTAGTCAGTGGGATGATGCAGGAGCGCAATTGAAGAAACAGAAGAGACCGCTCCAAAGCATCCATACTATTACTCCCATGCAGGTAAGAGTTGCCTATAGATAAAAACAAACTGTGCAGCTTTGAGCAAAGTTAAAAAAAGCCCTTCCTATAGGTGTAGGCCATTTATGTACCTCCCAAAGCCTGGACAAAAAACTCTTGGAAATTACAGTTTCCATTTTGCTTTGTTCCCAGCCAACTCAAACCCCCTCTAATATGCTCTCTCTCCCCTGTCGCAGTATCTCTGAGCTGAGTGATGCTCCTACGCAGGATATAGTTGACAACATGCGCAGGGGTTTGCTCCTGTGATGGTGGGAGTGGGCAGTAACAGCTGGGAGTATCTTAGCAATGTCCTAACAACAAAGCAGGGCAGGATGCTGCCATTTCTGGGAGTTTTTCAGCCAGGCATCACTAGATAAGTAAATGGCCTACACCTACAGTAAGGGCATTCTCCAACTTTAGTCAAAGCCGCATAGTTTGTTTTTTTACTACAGGCACCGCTTACCTGCATAGGCAGTTTTTTGATAAAGGTGAATTAATCCTTGAGGGCAAACACTTCAATAGTAACTCAAACTGTAGAATGAATTCTCTTTAAGACTGGTCAGCTCACTCTGTGAAGTTAGCTGTCAGATATGTGGGCATTAATTAGGGACAAATCCAAAAGGGTTAAACTGACTGAGAAGGATCTTTCCTCATCTAGAACTGTCTTAAGTGCAACAACTGATGTCATAGTGCTGTAATTACAGGATGCAGCCATGCATGCTTACCATCTCATTCTGGGTTTGCCACTGCTCCTCATTCTGTAAGTGCCACTTGCCCTTTTCTAAGGCATGTTGTTCCTTCAGCTCTTGAACAATGACTATCTTTCTGGACATCCTCATCTGTGTGAGAGTTGCCATAGTAATATTTCGAAGAGACAGTGTGCGCATGACAGATCTCAGTAAAAACTTGTGTCTCTGTATGGCAAGTCTGTGGGACCTGGAGAAAGGTAAGATGAAGTTACAAAACAATTTAAATTTAGTTAAATAACAAGAAAGCATTTTCACGCTTAATGGCTACATACACTTGTGTTTTAAAATAATAGCAGTCAGACATCACTAACCTGATCAATCACTGTTTTGGTAGAAATGATATTTCTACATGGCAAATAATTTACTAGCAGGTGTAGTAGAGTAATAGAAATCCAACAGACCCAACAGTCATGACATGCATGCTGCTGATTCTGTGTAATTGAATCACTAATTGAAAGGGGCATGTTCAAAATAATAGCAGTGTGGAGTTCTATTAGTGAGGTCATTCATTCTTTGAAAAACAGGTGGCAATTATTGCCCTTATTTAAGGAAGGAAGGAAGGCAGCAAATGTTGTACATGCTGGTTACAGTGCATTTCTCTCTGAAATTCTGAGGAAAATGGGTCGTTCCAGATATTGTTCAGAAGAACAGCGTACCTTGATTAAAAAGTTGATTGGAGTGGGGAAAACATATTAAGAAGTGCAGAAAATGATAGGCTGCTCAGCTAAAATGATCGCAAATGCTTTAAAATGGCAACCAAAACCTGAAAGACGTGGAAGAAAGCGAAAAACTACCATTTGAATGGATAGAAGACTAGCCAAAATGGCAAGGACTCAGCCAACAATCAGCTCCAGGAAGATCAAAGAAGGTCTAAAGTTACCTGTGAGTACTGTTACAATTAGAAGATGCCTATGTGAAGCCAAGCTATCTGCAAGAAGTCCCCGCAAAGTCCCACTGTTGAAAAAAAGACATGTGCTGAAGAGGCTACAATTTGCCAAAGAGCACATTGACTGGCCTAAAGAGAAATGGCGCAACATTTTGTGGACTGATGAAAGTAAGATTGTTCTTTTTGGGTCTAGTGGCCAGAGACAGTTTGCCAGACGACCCCCAAACACTGAATTCAAGCCACAGTACACTGTGAAGACAATGAAGCATGGTTGTGCAAGCATCATGATATGGGGATGCTTCTCATACTACGGTGTTGGGCCTATTTATCGCATACCAGGGATCATGGATCAGTTTGAATACATCAGAATACTTGAAGAGGTCATGCTGCCTTATGCTGAAGAGGAAATGCCCTTGAAATGGGTGTTCCAACAAGACAACGACCACAAACACACCAGTAAACGTGCAACATCTTGGTTCCAGACCAACAAAATTGACGTTATGGAGTGGCCAGGCCAATCCCTGGATCTTAATCTAATAGAAAACTTGTGGGGTGACATCAAAAATGCAGTTTCTGAGGCAAAACCAAGAAATAGAGAAGAACTGTGGAATGTAGTCCAATCATCCTGGGCTGGAATACCTGTTCACAGGTGCCAGAAGTTGGTTGACTCCATGCAACACAGATGTACAGCAGTTCTCAGAAACAGTGCTTATACAACTAAATATTAATTTAGGGATTCAAAGGAAAGCAAAATCTTCAAACATTTTTCAGTTTATATAGTGAATGTTTGAGTTTGTAAAGAAGAATACAAACACTGCTATTTTTTTTGAAGAGTCTAATATTGACTTTTCTTCAATTTTGTTTAGAGGAACAACACAAATGTGATATATTTTTCTTCATGTTTTGATTAGTAATAGAATGTGTAGTGTTCCCAATGCATTTGTATGGAAATAAAAGCTATTAGAAGGATTTTGAGCTTTTTTCACTTTTTTCAACACACTGCTATTATTTTGAACACAATTGTAGATACAGTCAGGGCGAAAAAATATTGGCACCCCTGCATTTCTGTCAGGTAATTCACCACTTCACCCAGAAAATTGTTGCAATTACAAATGTTTAGACATTCTCATGTTTATTTCTTTTGTTTGTATTGGTATGACACACAAAAAGTGGAGAAACAAAAAGCCAAATCTGACACATTCCACACAAAACCACAAAAATGGACTGGACAAAATTATTGTCACCCTCAAATTTAATAACTGGTAGCACACCCCTTGGAAAATATAGCTGAAATCAATTGCTTTTTGTAACCATCAAGGAGTTTCTTACACCTCTCTACTGGAATTTTTGACCACTCTTCTTTTGCCAACTGCTCCAGGTCTCTCAGATTGGAAGGGTTCCTTTTCTCAACTGCTGTTTTGAGATCTCTCCACAGGCGTTCAATGGGATTATGATCTGGACTCATTGCTGGCCAGTTCAGTACTCTCCAGTGATTTGTCTGAAACCAATTCTGGGTGCTTTTTGATGTGTGCTTTGGGTCATTGTCCTGCAATAAGACCCATGATCTCTGACAGAAACCCAACTTTCTGACACTGGGCCCTACATTGTACCCCAGAATACTTTGTACTCTTCAGATTTCATAATGCCATGCACATGGTCAAAACATCAAATGCCTGAAGCAGCAAAGCAACCCCAAAACATCAGTGAACCTCCACCATGTTTGACCGTAGGGACTGGATTCTTTTCTTTAAAGGCCTCATTTCTTTTTCTGAAAACAGTAGAATGATGGGCTTTACTGAAAAGCTGTAATTTTGTTTCATCTGTCCACAGCACATTCTATCAAAAGGATCTTAGCTTCCTCAGGTAGGTTTTGGCAAACTCCAGTCTGTTTTTTTTATGTTTCTGTGTCAGCAGTGGGGTCCTCCTGGGTTTCCTACCATAGCATCCCTTTTCATTCAGATTGTGATGTATAGTGTGAGCTGACACAGTTGTACCCTGTGCCTGAAGATCAGCTTTAATTTGTCTGGAAGTTGATCGAGGTTCTTTATCCACCATTCCAACAATCCTTCGTTGCAATCTTTGCTCAAGTTTTTCTCTTCCCTCCACGCCCAGGGAGATTAGCTACTGTGCCATGGACTGTAAAATTATTGACATTGTTGCACACAGTGGACACAGGAACATTAAGATCTGTTAAGTGATACAGGGGAATTTAATTACAAATTACACTGTTCAACAAATTTTTATTTTTTGCCAGTTTTGGAAACAAAAGGATCCATTTCTTAATGAATTTCACATTCTGAGTTCAAATATAACAATGAAATTTGTCAATTGGCTCTAGTTTTTCTGTAAACGGAAAGTTTTCTACTATAGGCGTAATGACTACATAATGCACAATAATTATATAGATAGATGTCTTTCCACAAATATAAAGCAAGTGATATTGACTACATAACAAAGCCTAAATGGCATAATATATTGCATAGGATTACCAAGAAAAATTATAGCCATAAGCTAAGTTGAATCATTTTAATACTTAGGATTCTCACTAGTTTTGTCTTCAGTTGTGTCGGTTTTGCTTCTCTTGGCTTTTCTCTTGTATTCGAGGAAAGGGCTATCTCTTACAACTGCACGTGACTACACGCTTCAGGTTCTTCCTCACTTGACTCAACCACGAAGGATTCTGGTGCTTTAGGAATTGGTAGCCCCTCTCCATGAGGAACTGGACGTATTGCCGATGGAATATTTGGATAGTGCACAGATAACTTTTTCTTCTTATTTAGCCCTTTTACAATTGGAGGCACCATACAAAAGTAACAATTACTAACATGATCTGTTGGCTCTCTCCAAATCATTGGCACAGCGAAAGGCATAGATGCCTTTTTTCCATTCAACCATTGCTCCAGTGCCGTCCCACAAGAATTGCAGCATATATGTGGTGCCCAGCTCTTGTCCTGGTCTCCTATCTTGCAGCCAAAATACAAGTTGTAGGCTTTCTTAATCATTCCTGTTATCCTCCTTTTTTGTGAGATAAAAGTTATTTCACCGCAGATATAGCAGAAATTATCTGCTTTATTCACACAAGTTCGAGGCATTACTGAGTAGCCTATATAAGCATAAAACGAAATGTAAAGACGCTGTCGAACTACAATCAGCTACAGATACTGCAGCTTTTATGCAGTGAAGTGATGCAATTAAAGGCTAATATTGCATCATCTCAGTATACATGCAATTTTCTATTGGTCACCAGTATCAATTGCGCAATATGCAGCTGAAGTTGCATCATAATTTTGAATGGCTTACGTCATTAGATGGGTGAATATATCATAGAAACTAGAGCCAATCAACATTTTTTAGGGTCATTTTCGTTTTCAGCACCCCAAAATTATGTAAGATTAGCTAATTTTATGCCCAAAACTTGTTACAGGAGCATCACAAACTTGGAATGCGATTATTTCTTACAATTTTGAGAAGGGGCCAATAATTTTGTCCAGCCCATTTTTGGAGTTTTGCGTGGAATGTGTCAGATTTGGATTATTGTTTCTCCACTTTTTTGTGTCATACCGATACAAACAAAAGAAATAAACATGAGAATGCATAAACATTTGTAATTGCAACAATGTTCTGGGTGAAGTGCTGCATTACCTGACAGAAATCTATGGGTACCAATGTTTTTGGCCATGACTGTATTTCTATTCTCTGGAAGGTTTAAAAAGGGAATCTGTTAAAATTGGAACTTTACCCATAACAACTTCATAAAAAAAATATTGTTCTTTAGCACGGAATATACATTCCACGCTACTAATTATGCTACCTAAATTAGCGTGTGTTGTAAATTGCCTCCAGCATTGTTCCTGTTTCCTCTTGCTGGAGGGTGCCATTTTGCCCAGAGCTCCTGAACAGCAGTAAGGCTCAATTCACATGCAAAGTTGCATGATTTCCAGTGTGACTATGGAGCGTAACTTTGAGTATGACTCTGATCCAGAAGGTGTAAAGTCGAATCAAAGTCGCATCAAAGTAGTGTAGGCACCTTTTCACACCGATTTGAATGGGTGCCATTGAAAAAAATGTGCTGTGACTTGTCATGTGACTTTGGTATGTCCCATAACAAGTTGCAAAAGTGTGAATGGAGCCTTAGGCCTCGTTCACTCCCTACGTGCAGATAAACTAATGGAAACTGACGCACATATTTAACTTGCAGAGACATCAGTTTTCACAGTTTTCATGCACGCTTCGATTACTTTTATACACGTTGCAGATTCTTGTGCAGAAAAAAAATCTGCATATGATACTAGTGTTGTGGA